GTGTAATATATTTTTAAACTTTTAGTTTAAAAATTATATAAACTAAACAGTCGACAGTATTTTTACAGTTTTTATTTCACAGTTAAAATAAATGTTTCTCAAATAAAGTCTGTTACAACTTATTGGGRATCCCTTTAAAGAGTGGCACAGAGATCAAAAGAATCCAGCAGCTGGAAAAATTTGCTTTGTAGAATCTATATTTCACTTCRTTTTCACTRGCTTCTTTTGCTGTGGCTCAGTTGTACTGTGAAGTGGGAGTTTCCTACTTACAAGTTGTAAATTTAAACTGGAACGCCTCCTCTGGTGGGAAGTTGTTGTCTAAAAATGGGAGAGTTCCAAATTCAAGATGGCAGCTACTCAACCGTGACTCTCTTACTTTTACTTTTAATAGAATTTCTTTATTTACTGTATTTCACATTTAATCAGTTGTACAACTAGTATTTTTCAGAAGATGTGTGAAAATACTGTTTCTAAGCAGGAAATACCATGTAGAGCTCATTGTTTGTTAGCACTGCTCAGGAACATTATGTTACGTCTAAGCTAAACATGAAACATCAAAGTTTGTTGCAGTTGGCCCTTTTGTCCCCTGGTTCCACTCAACTGAATTGCGTAAAATCAACACATTTACTTTACATTTACTTTTAAAAAATGTAAAGTAAATGCATTACCTTTACTCATTTCAGCTGAGTGGAACCAACTGACATATTTTTTTTAGTTAAATCCACTACATCTGTTTTTTTGAGTGCTGAACTCACATAGTTTGCACATCACTGCTTCCCCTGCCTCCTGAGGGTCAGCTGGTCGGCTTTGGGTCACAGTTGTAGGTGATCAGACCTGTACCACCTCACTAGGCTCCTCCCCCTCCTACCCATCTCCAACACATGAGTACCTGTACATATGACAGAACCCAGAGTTCTTCTGGAAAGCACTACAGGAAGGACAAACGGTGTAAAAATGGTAGTCAGGTGCTGAAAACAAACATGAAAAGCTATAAATGAAGTGTCCATAGGTTTGTGGAACTGTGGGCTAAATGTAAAAAGATTGTTTTAATTTACGACAACTGAACAGTACTGAAAAGTCTGGTTTTGTGAAATCAAATTCTCTTTTCTTTTAATAATTTCAAAGAATTAAATTTATATTTTCTTGACCTGCTTGCTGATTGTGCTGTGTTGTCATTGTATCCATGTTTTATTTTTCTTAGCAGAATGGATTTTTCACTTCAGCCAGAGATATTTCACATCAAAGATTTTGCTGTTGTTAGTTTATATATTAGAACCTGAAACGTTTGGGAAACAAAGTTCCAGATGAAAACCTGTGTGGAAAAAATGTTTTTMTCACACTGACACAGTAAATCCTCTAGAGGGCTGCATGTGTTYTAAAACTGAAACTCCAGGTGAAAATGTGAGTTTTCATTATTTTAGCTTGTTCGTTTTACTTTGCCATATCAGTCACCTCAAACATGGATCATTAAAACATCATTCATTTTATCAGTTAATCAAATTTTATTTATAAAGCACATTTGCTTTACACCAGAAAAAACATCAAAGAAAAGTAGCAAAGAAGTAAACAATAACATTCATACAACATGATTTATAACAATAATGAGACATAAAAAGAGTAAACAACGGCAACTCCAACCTGGAGACTGAAAGAACAACAACAGCAACAAAAAAGCAGTTTAATGGAGAAAC